AACGCCTTGCACCCTTCAGCCTACAGGAAACGTATGGATGACACACGAGGAGATGGAGTCTCTGACGGCAGCTACAAAACCCGTGAGTGCCTCCTGCTGGTGGTCCTGGGGGTGGCATTATTCCTATTGGGTGTGGGGGCCGGGGAGAGTCTGTCCGTGCATCGTCTGTCCCTTCCGTTCTCCTCTGCCTGTCCCCTTAACCCACCCCTTCTCTCCCCCTCTTCCCACTAACGGGTCAGGAGACCAAGGAGATCAGCTGGGAGCAGGTAGGGGTGCAGGGCGGGCTGGACGCATGAGCAGGTTGTGCACGCTGCATGGTCTTTCTGTTTCTCTGCGCCCCACCCCTCGTCTGAACATTCTAAGTCCCTGCCCCGGAGGGGAAGGCTGCAGTGTGGAGCTCGGCTCTTCATAGTTCTTGTGTTCATAGTGGCTTGGTGGGGGACAAAGTGGAAGCCCTTAGTGTCCACCTCTAGCCTGGTGCACGGGCTACTCCATGGTTGTGGGTTGCTCGGAAGCAGGGGACTGTGGGATTGCTGGAACTGGAAGGAACTGCCGGGTGATGTGAGGGTTTGCATTGAGGGGATGGGGAAGAGGTCTGCCTGCACCGTTCAGGGGCTCGGCACAAGTGCTAGCTGTGCTAGTTATGGTGGCCTCGAGGTGGGCCAGGCCAGTGAGAGGTGGGGAAGACACAGTACACCGTGGCCTGGAGAAGAGAGACACAGGGTGCCCCACTTGAGCTTGCCAGGGCAGAGGCACCCGGCTGAGCTCTGGTCTGTTTCCTTGCCCTAAAGCTACGAAAGACTTTGGGCTTGTCTCATAGCCTTATCCTAAGCTGGACTGCTGGAACTAGCATTTTCTGTAATTAGCATTACAGCAGTGGTGACTGTGGGTGACAGGAGAGCCATGTTGAAGGCCTGACTTTTAGAGTGTAGTCATGTTTGGGCTGAGTGGGTGCAGACCTGCAGGGCTGGGGGTCAGTTGGTGGAACCCTTGCCTAAATAGAGTCTTAAGTTCCAGCACCAACCTGGAGTATGGGGTACACATCTGTAACCCAGCACTCGAAAGGGTGGAGGTAGGGGGATCTAGAGTTGAAGGTCATCCTGAGTGTCACCAAAAGTTTGAAGCTAGTCTGGACTACATAAGACCCTCAGCTGGTCCAGTGTTCCCAGTGGTGGGTCCAGATTATTCTGTAGTGGTGATAGAACTTGGGACGAGGGGCTGAACTTTATCCTTTCCCTATACATATGGGAAGGGACAGGGCCTGACCCCCTCCCTCACCTGCCCATGGCCCCAGATCCTGGCATATGGCGACATGAACCACGAGTGGGTGGGGAACGACTGGCTGCCCAGCCTTGGGCTGCCCCAGTACCGAAGCTACTTCATGGAGTCGCTAGTTGATGCTCGGATGTTGGACCATCTGAACAAGAAGGAACTGCGAGGACAACTCAAGATGGTGGACAGCTTCCACAGGTGGGGATTGCCTGGCCAATGGGAACAGCCCAAAGGGAAGAAGTCACACCCCTAGAGAGGCTTTGGCCAATGGGAAGTTCCATTAAATTTTCGCTCCGTACGCCTTGAACCAAAGATGGTGGTTCATAGAAAAATTGATATCTGATGTGGTCCTGGTGACCTGCTACTGGAGGGATGGAGGACTACAAGTTTGAGGTTAGCCTGGACTACAGAGTGGGTTCAAGCCCAGGATAGGGTAAAAGATCTTGGAGAGAGAGAGGGAGACAGAGAAACACAAGCAAGAGAACACAAGTAAACAGTATGGAACTGGGGATTTGTGCTTTTATCTAGTATGGGTAACACACACACACACACACAAACACACAAACACACACACAGGAGGAAGGGAGGGGAGAGAGAGAGAGAGAGAGAGAGAGAGAGAATTCTGTAAGAGCAACAACAGTGGCCACAGTAAGGCTCCTGGGTGACTCAGTTTCTCCCACTGCTCAGGGTTAGTCTGCACTACGGTATTATGTGCCTGAAACGGCTCAACTATGACCGGAAGGACCTGGAGCGGAGGAGGGAAGAAAGTCAGACTCAAATCAGAGGTGAGGTCCTGTGGGGGCCATGTGGAAGGTGGGGAGCCAGAGAAACCAAGAGCTACTGGAAACAGGGTGGAACCACCATGGGGGCGTGGCCAGAGAATAAAATGAGTGTGGAGTTATGTGCCAGACTGGTTGGGCATGGCCACTGGGGCGCGCTATCACACAAGGGGTGGAACCGGAAATAGGGTTTGGCTAAGAGAGACTATGAACCTGTTCTCTAGGGGGCGCTGTTCCCAGAAACAATGAGTAGAGCCTGTGTGGGGCGTGGCTCGGGCGGGAAATGGGAGTAACAAGCCTAGCTGGCCAGTTTCATAAATGAGGTGGGATGGAACCAGCGTAGAGACTTAGCTAGGAAAGGAAATGAGAGTGGAGTTAGGCTAGTTTGGCAGGGCTGTCCACTGGGAGGTGCACAGTTAAGAGTCCCTTTCTTCCCCAGATGTGATGGTGTGGTCCAACGAACGGGTCATGGGTTGGGTGTCTGGCCTTGGCCTCAAGGAGTTTGCTACGAATCTCACCGAGAGTGGGGTGCACGGAGCACTGCTGGCTCTAGATGAAACCTTCGACTACTCCGACCTGGCCTTGCTTCTACAGATACCTACACAGAATGCACAAGTGAGCCTTGGCTGGTCAGCAGACATGCTGGGCACCCCCACCTGTATGCTCCAAATAACCTTTCCCCTTTCCTTTTCCAGGCTCGGCAACTGCTGGAGAAAGAATTCAGTAACCTCATCTCCTTAGGCACAGACAGACGGCTGGATGAGGTGGGCGTGGTAATGAGGTCTAGTTTCCCAGTTGCACTTACAAATCAGCAGTGAAGGGGTGGGGCTTGGTGTTGCCAACCAATTGTGGTTTGATGCTGAGTTTAGTGAGGGTCACGATTAATGCAGAGGGGTAGAGTCGGAACTTGTGCCCGCCTCCCTCACCTCGGGTTCCTGTCACACAACTAGGACAGTGCCAAGTCCTTCAGCCGCTCCCCATCCTGGAGGAAGATGTTCCGTGAGAAGGACCTCCGGGGTGTAACCCCCGATTCAGCCGAGATGTTACCCCCCAACTTTCGCTCAGCTGCAGCAGGAGCCCTAGGCTCACCGGGGCTCCCTCTCCGCAAACTGCAGCCTGAAGGTAGGGAACTCTTAAAAGTGACACTCAAAAGTGAATCCTGCCGGGCGGTGGTGGCGCACGTCTTTAATCCCGGCACTTGGGAGGCAGAGGCAGGTGGATTTCTGAGTTCGAGGCCAGCCTGGTCTACAGAGTGAGTTCCAGGACAGCCAGGACTACACAGAGAAACCCTGTCTCGAAAAACCAAAAAAAAAAAAAAAAAAAAAAAAGTGAATCCTATTCATTTATTAGGACAACCTTCCATCTGGTCTAGCCTACCTACCTGGGCTACAGAAGAGGTCAAAATAGTCAGGGCTGCTTAGTGAGATTGTTTCAAAAAGTAAAAAGAGGGCTGGACATGTAGCTCACAGGTGAAAGAGCAGCGTAGATCCCACATTGAGGAGCTGTGGGGGTGTGGCTCGGTGGAGGGCTTTTGACCAGCAACTCCGTGGCCCTACCTTCAGTCTCCAGTTCTAAGGAGTGAGGATTCCCTGGGGGAAACTAGGGTGGTTCCAGGTTGAAGCTCTGTTGCTGTCTCTTAGGCCAGACTTCTGGAAATTCACGAGCAGATGGTGTTTCGGTCCGGACTTACTCCTGCTAGTGTACAAACTCCAGGTGAGGACTCTGTCAGGTGATTTTTTTAGGGTTCAGGGTAGTGCAGTGAGAACGCGGGATGGCGTGCCAGATGGGTCCCACTCTGTGAACTGTCCTCAATGTAAGTGACCTCGCTCTCATTCCAATGAAGACCCTTTCGAAGGCTGGGCCGTTTTCCCTCCTTCCCAGGGTATTGTCTAGCCGGAGACCGCCGTGAGGAAGCTTGCCCTGCGGACTGCACCACCTATACATACCAGCCGGGTGTGCGTGTTCCCGCCTCCCGAATGGACTGGGCCTGGACCAAACCACAAGAAATGGACTGAAAGGAGACAGCCGAAGAAGACAGGAAGAAATCCCACCCCAAACTTCCGTCTCCCTTTTCTCTACTTTGTAATTTATTGATGATCCGTTTCAAATGGGAGCCAGGCGTCCTGCACTTGCGGAAAGGGGGCGGGGCTTCCCTCTCGGGCCGCATGCGGGGATATGCCACCCCTCCCCTTTGTATTGCCCAGTCGCGGGGCCCAAGTCTTCCTTCTCTATCCGCTAGGAGGGGAGGGGAGACTCGCTGCTACAAGCCTCATCCCCCACCCCTCCCCAACCCCGTACCACTCAGCCCTGCCCCGCTGCGTCTTGTCGCCAGTCCTCGGGGTCATCTACAAGCGGGGCTCCCTGACCCTCCTCCCTGTCTCGTGTTCCCCGGGGCCTCTCCGCCTCTGTGCTATGGCGGTGTCTGTGCCCAAGGGTCAGGGACGCAGCACTGCGTTCCCATTTCCCCTCTGGCTCCGGGGTTTGCATGGGAAAATCCCTCTGTCAACTGTGCCGCTGGCGATGTGGCTGGGGAGAGGACGGACAATGGGGAGCCCCACCCTGACTCGGCCTCTTGGCTCCAGGCGTTACTCAGTGATCACGGGTAAAGACCTACTGTTTCAAAAGCTCTGCTGGTGACCAGCCTTTTTTGAGACAGGGTCTCACTTTGTAGTCCTGGCTGGCCTGGAACTCACTGTGTAGACTAGGCTAGCCTCGAACTCACAGAGATCCGCCTGCCTCTGCACTGAGATTAAAGGTGTGTGCCACCAGTCCCAGGTTTTGTTCTTAAGATGTTAAGAACCCAAACCAACCACCTCCAGATCAAGGAGTCGAGTCTATCCTGTATCAGGCCCTCTAGGAGAGACAAAAGCCTCACCCTACCCTCTGTCTCCCCAGGACACACCCCACACTGGACACTGATGTTTCTAGGAGCACATTTATTTAAAGAAATAGATGCAGCTCTTGCCAGGTGGCCAGGTCAGGGCTCTGGAGTCTCCAGCATGTCAGCCAGGGCTCTGGACAGAGAACACAAAGTTTAGTTAGCCAATGTGCAGAAGTCATCATGACCCCAACTATTTCATAGAAGACAGTCCAGGGAGGGTCTCTAACTCACAGTGAGCCAACCCTTCCCTAACAGGTCCCTTGAACAGCGTCATCTCCCAGCCCAGCCCCACACACTTACTGATACACAGAGGAGGAGAAATAGTCAATGTAGCTTCCTGTGAGAGAGCAGAGAGAGAAGAGGTTGGAGGGGCCTCCAGGAGGGGCATGGAGGGAAAGGCTCAGGGCAAGCGCAGAAATATGGTGCTCAGTGCCTTCTAATGCAAACTGAGTCTCCATCCTTCTTGCTTTGGACACTCTGGCAGTCCCGCCCTCAGTTTTACTTCTGTTGACTTGGGTCCCCACCCATTCACTGCTAACTAGGATTATCCCATCAATAGTACCTCAGTTGTAGCCTGAGATATCAGATTCTACCCACACGACCTTCGCCATGCCACACCCCTACCCCACCCATGTGACCACAGAGCCCAGCCTTGGTTCATAGCTCAGGTTGGCTCCAACCCCACTAGGATTCATTTTGCTGGGCCCCGGCCCCTCCATGGGGGTCTGCGTCTTCCTCCTCGCTGCTCACCTGGAGTGCAGAGCGTGTCACAGACCAGCGGGCAGAGGTAGCAGAACTGGCAGTGCTGAGGGCAGGGAGAGAACCTGGTCAGGGGACTGAGTCAGGGACAAATGAGGAAGAACCACCCAGGTCTGAGGCTAAGTGGAGGGTCACACAGGAAGGAGGCATGAAGCGATGTAAGGCCAGGATTGTGCCTTGGGCACTCCAGTGGTCCCAGCCATCTTGGGACCTGAGCTTAGGGGCTTTGGGAAGGCCTTACCTGACACTGGTCACAGTGTTCCCCCATGTTCTCCTCATCACAGTGACAGCTTTCACATTCAGTACATCGCTGGGAGAAAGAAGAGCCTGGTTAGAGGAGCCCCTAGCCCCATATCCCTCAGGGAACGATCACTTCAGCTGTCAACTTCCATGTCTGAACTCAGAGTCCCCCTCTTCTCTGGGGACACCACCCACCCTGGTTTTCCATCTCAAGACAACCCCAACCCCATGTGACCCATTCACTGGACAGCGGAACTTGTGAGTGCTCACTTAGACACCTACCTGTCACACACCCTGTGACCTTCACCTGGAGACCTTAACTTCTTATTGCCCCAATGTCCCCACCCCTGGCTTCTGGTCTCCAGCTTGTTCTGGAAGCGTTTGTTTTTGCCTGCTCCTCCCGCTCCCAGGTTCACAGGCCTCCCATGGCACCTCAGGGCGTGTAAGGCAGATCTGGTCTAGGGACCTACATTGCAGAAAGAACAGTAGCCACACAAGGACCCTGGCTGGTAGTTTTCATACTCCTGGGCCTCCTGCTGACCTGTGGGGACAGGAGGGTAACAGTGACTCCAGTTGGTCAGCTCTGCCTTCCCCACCCCTGTAGAGCCAGGTCACTTACCTGTGATCTCATGACTCTCCTCCTCACTGGAACCTTCTCTGGCCACCTCCCTCCCAGCCAGTGGATTTGGGATAATGGTGAAAGGTAGCAGGTTTTCCTCCAGAATCTCCTCCTCCTCTTCCTCTTCCTCCTCCTCCTCCTCCTGCTTCCTGTGATGGCTCAGAGGAACCGAAACTGCAGCCCTGTCTCTCTTACTCTCTTTCTTATCTTTTTCTTCCTCTTCTTCATCCTCCTGGCTCATGGGGAGGCCATGACCCTCCTCTTCCTCCTCTTCTTCCTCCTCCTCCTCACTGTCAACTTCTTTTCTCTGCTCTGGGCCTTCATCTCCCTCTTGAGAGCTGTGGTCACCTTCTTTCCTTGATTCTCCAGAACTGGGCCCTGTGGGGTACAGGGGCTGATGACCAATCTCTCCCTGAACAGATTCTCTGTGACCCTGCCTAGTCCTTTCATCTTGCTCTTGTAGCCTGTGGCTGGGGGCCTTGTGGCCAAACTCAGTAGAAATGTCTTCATCACCATCTCTGGAGACTCTGTGGTGGTGATGGCCAGGGACTTCATCCATATAGTCTTCTAGAGAGTCTTCCTCCTTGTCAGCATTGTGGTCTGGGGGTTGGTGGCTTGCAACATGGTGGCTGTACTTGACTGTTGCCTCTTGATTCTCATGTTCAAGACCACGGTGAGCATGTCTGGGAGACTGGTGCCAATGTTCTGTGGATGCAGCCTCATCTTCCTCTTCCTCATTTTGGTGGCTTTGGTGGCCATGGATGGGGACATGATGACAGTCTTCTTCTGAGTCGTCTTCATCATTTTCATTCTCATGGCCTCTGTGTCTGTGGGCTTGGTGCACATGCTCAGTAGAGTCACCATCACCATCCTCATCATCGTCATCATCTTCATCTTCATGGCCTCGGCGTCCATGCCTGGAGACGCGATGATCATCTTCATCTGACTCATTCTCATCTTCTTCCTTCCTGTGGCCTTGGATCTGGTGTCTGTGCTCAGTAGAGTTGTCTTCTTCTTCTTCTTCTTCTTCTTCTTCTTCTTCTTCTTCTTCTTCTTCCTCTTCTTCTTCTTCTTCTTCATCATCTTGTTCTTTTTTGTGGCCTTGGTGGTCCGGGGTCTGGTGTCCATATTCACTGGAGTCACCATCTTCATTATCATTTTCATCTTCTTGGCCTTGAAGTCTGTGGGTGTGGCTGTCTTCATCTGAGTCCCCATCGTCTTTGTCATGGTCCTGATATCTGTGAGCTTGGTGTCCGTATTCAGTAGAGACACCATCTTCATCTTCATCTTCATCACTGTGGTCCTGGTGCCTATGGCTGTGGGCATGATGGAGTCCATCTCTCTCCTTTGAGTGGCTCTGGTGACCATGGGGCTGGTGCTTATCATCAGAGTCCTCCATCATGTCTACCCTCTCCTTCTCTCCTCCATCACCTTCTCCGTGGCCATGGTGGACATGCCTGGGGATGTGACGGTGATACTCACTGGAGGCAATGCCATCCTCATCTTCATGGCTGTGGCTCTTCTGTCTGGGGAAGTGGTTCTCTGCTGAGTCCCCTAAATCTTCATTGTTATGTTCCTGGTGCCCACGGAGCTGTCTAACATGCCCTCTGAAAACCTCTTCGGAGACATTCTCCTCCCCAACCTCGTGACCAGGGTACCTGTGGTCTTGAACCTGGTGGCCATATTCCCTGGAGAAGTCTTCATCCTCTTCTCTGTGGTCTCTGTCCTTCTCACCTTGATAGCCCCTGTGGCTGTGGATGTGGTGGCCAAACTCAGTTGATAGGTCTTCTGAGGACCCAGGGATGCCTGCATTGTTGTTCCAGTTGCCGAGGCCCAGCCCAGACCCTCTCAGCTCCTGGGTCACCACTGGACGGACCAGCAGGATGGCCACTGTGGCCCAAAGGAGAAAAGTATGCAACCATGGCCCCTGGGAGCCCATGGGGACGTTTAGCAGCTGAGTCGCTGACCAGGCTGGATTCAGCTGCCTCTGATGGACGGTCCTTGTGCCTCTTTGGGTTTGACTTTCAGATTGTCTCTCTTTTGTGGTATGGCTCCCACTCTCTGCCTGTCTATCTTCCTTAGGTCTTGGATGACCCTCTGAGGATGTCCCCTTTGGAGCTGTGACCCTGGTTCCAGGACCTCCCTTCCCACTGCTGGGCCAATGGAGTCTGTCCCCTCCCCTTCTTGTGGCTAAATTTATCCAGAGCCTAAGTTATTCTGGTCACTCCCTGCCCGCCCCTCCCCTCTTGTTCCTCTGGCTCAGGACTGGGTGGTGGAGGGGTCTTCATGGACAGGAGGGGGGGCAGGGACTTGACAATCTCAAGTTTGGCATCTTTAGCACAAAGGCCAGACTTTTAGAGTGTCTTGCTGGAAAAGCCTGGGGCTCTGGGAGAGGAAGGCGTGGAGGAGAGGAGATATGCAGGAGCAGAGGGCCTCCTGCAAGGTAAACACTGGGAAGAATGCAGACAGAACCAGAACGGGACATTTGGTGTGACAGTGGTATCATGCAGAAGCTGTGGAAGACAGTGAAGGAATCCTGTCCCCAACACCCCATGACCTCCTCTCCCTGGAACTCAGATCTGGGGGCAGGGGACCAGACCAGTACTATAAATACAACAGGGGGAGGTGCTGGGGGCTCAGGTTACGAGGCCTCAGCTGTCCCCACCAGAGGGACTTGGCTGGAGACAGGTGTCACTGCCTTCTCGGAGGGCCAGTGTCACAGACCCCACACTTGTCAGTATATGCACGGTCTTTGGGTTTTGTCCTTTATGAGTCAAACCTCCCCACCCCATTATAGTCACTGTTCTGAGGGTCCCTGTTTCTTCTCAGGATTCTAACCCCTCCTCTCCTTCTGATCTTTCTCTTCTGTCCCCCCTCCCCCTTCTCTTTTTCTTTCTTTCTTTGTGTGTATGTGTGTGTGTGTGTCTGTCTCTCTGTGTGTGTGTGTGTCTCTGTCTCTCTGTTTTTGTGTTTCTGGCTGTCTGTGTATATTCTCTCTCTCTCTCTCTCTCTCTCTCTCTCTCTCTCTCTCTCTCTCTCTCTCTCTCTCTCTCTCTCTGGCTCTCTGCCCCCTTTTCATTCTCTGGGTCCGTCTCTTAGTTTCTGTCTCTGTCTCTTTCTGGGTCTTTCTCTCAGTCTCTGTCCCTCCGAATCTGTTTGTCCCATGGCTGATAGCTATCGTGTGCCTCACTCTGCTTCCTTCGTTCCTCCGCTTGCTCTGCCTTCCAAGTCTCGGTCTTTCGTGTCCCCCAAACCGATCTCATTCATGGTTTGGCAGCAGAGTCTGTCCCTCCTCCGCAGCCGCCCTCTCCCCGCCTCCTGTGACGTGTCCCGGGACTCCCCGCCCCGGGCTGGGCTGCGAAGTTGCGGATCCGGTTCGGTCGGGCGGGTCGGCGGCTGGAGGAAATACACGGAGCCCCAGGGGCTGCGGCGGCAGCATGGTGGGGCCGGAGAAGGAGCAGGTATCGCACAGAGCGGGACTGGGAGTGAGTGGGGTCTAGAGGCGGCGCCAGCTCCGCGGATCCGGGTCAGATGCAGCAGTGGCTGGACCAGGAGTTCCCAGACCGAGCGGCATGGGTTCCTGGCTGAGCCCTAGGGAGGAGGTCCCAATGTGTCCCGGGGGCGCGCGGGGTTGTCTTCGAATCCTATGGCTCTGACCCGGGTGCCCGCTCTGCCCTTCTTGTTCCGGTTCTCAGAGCTGGATCCCTAAGATCTTCAGGAAGAAGGTGTGCACGACGTTCATAGTGGACCTCAACGATGATGCGGGGTGAGCAGTTCGCGGCTGCTGACCTGGCAGCGTAGGTTCGCGTGCCCTGCCCACTAAAGACAGGCTCCGCCCCCATAGTCCGGACTCGCCCCACTCAACGCAGACAAGGCTGCCCACCACAAACATCCCTTCACTGCCCACCGCAGGAGGCCTTGGTGCACAGACACACCCCACCACCACAGAAAATCCCCGCTAAATACACTCCGGCCCCGCCCACCAAGGACATTCCCGCCTTCACTTGAGACAGATCCCTCCCCTGCTCTTTTTTTGGGCCACACTGCTTAGGGCACGGGCACACCCCGAATTCTGGATTCCCTTCTAGGTGGGGACAAGAGGCGTGTAAACGCTTTAGGGATCCATTCTGTGTCTTTGTGTCTCGTCCATGTGTCTCTGTCTCTTTGTATCACTTTGTCTCTGCTTCAGCTTTCTGTGTCATCCTGGCTCAGCGAGCATAGCCACTCAGCCCTGCCAGCCTCACATAGCTCTGCAGCTTTGGGATAATAATTCCTTTCTTGGGCTGCGCTTGTCACCTGGGCACAGAGCAGCTCCTCCCTTCTGGGGCTGCTGTGCGAACTAAACAAGGTCACTCTGGGATGTTTCTGGAACTCTGCCCACCACCTAATAAACATCCGGAAATATCTGCAACTCCCACGAGAAGAGGGCAATTACCACTGCGAGCTGTGCTGTGCTGTGGGTGTCAGGGGACAGGAGCAAGCCCTGTAGGTTTCTTGGCTGCATGCGTAGTCTCCCTGGCTGAGTCCAGCTTTAACTTAGTTCTCACTGTGGACTTTTGGCCTGGGGCAGTGTCATCTGCTTTCCTTAGTGTGACTTTATCAGGAGCCTGTTGGCTCACCACTGTGGGACAGGAAAATATTGTGTAAATAAATGCAGATACTGGTTTACTGGTGGGACTGGCAGAGAGCCACAGATAGGGTGACTGAAGTCAGTGGGAGGAGATGGGAGCTGGTGGCATACAGGTGTCATGGGGAAGATGGAGCAGTGTGGTGCTCTGAGGGAGGCTCTGGGCCTTGGAACAGCTCCATTGAAGTCCTCCCTAAGGACGGCCGGCATGGCTAGAAAGCAGAGCAGAGTTGTAAATGCTGTAGCGGGAAGGCTGGTGGGAGACCTCATGGGCTCTCAGAGGCCACCCTGAGTGTGGTTTTCCGGGGCTGGGTAGGCTCTGCGTGTGTAAGCTGTGTCGGGGTGGGTAGGAATTCAGAGAGGTGAGAAGAGATTGGGGACCATCACCAAGATGAGGAGCCCAGGAGAACAAGTAGGTTTGGAAAGGGATACTGAGTACCGGCCCCTGTGTACATGACAGGCCTTGGAGAGGGGTATGGGGAGGATGGGCACCCAATTGGTACTTAGCAGAAGATTGAGGTTCATATTGGGGTCTGAGAGGTCCCAGTTATAGGTAGAAATTGAAAACATGGAGGCAAGTGAGGAAAATACAAAGCCCCCTGCTCCCCCCCTTTTTGCCCGTCTCTTCTTTCCTTCTTACACTTCTGGGCTTAGTCTGTAGTTCAGTGGTAGCATACTTAGCATGTGTTGAGTTTCATCCCCAGGACCGAAAACCCAAACCCAAGAAACCTGTCCGGTGTAGTGATACAGGACTGTCGTTTGCTCTAACACTCAGGAGACTGAGGCAGGGGATTACTGGAGTTCTGAGACCACTTGGGCCACCGAGGCAGACCTTTAAAAAAAAAAAAAAGCCAAAAAATAACAGCACCAGAAAGCAACCAGGGGCTGCAGCAATGTCTCCGTGGTTAGAACACTGGCTGCTCTTGCAGAGGACAAGGGCTCGGTTCCAGCACACACGTGACAGCTCACAAATAGCTGTAACTCCCATTCCGGGGGACCTGACGCCCTCTTCTGGCCTCCACAGACACTACAACATATACACAGACACACATGCAGGCAAATCCTCACCCAAAAAATAAAAACCCAGCACCCCCAACCCTCACATCTCTGAACGCCTTTAAGACAAGTGCTAGCTGCTACTGCCCACCTCCTTCCCTGGAGCTTCTTAACAGTCTCTCTCAGCCCCTATGGACGTCGGGCTAGAGTACCACAAGGGGTAGCCAAGAGGCTAGCTTGGATCTTGGGTGCTCTGAGGGCAGCAGGGGGAAAAGAAAGCCACCATGAGGCTTGCGTTACAATTTTGAGGAGAGGAAGGACCAGGCCAAGGTTTCCAGAAGGAGTGCATTCCATGGTGGTCAGCCTCCTCCTCACGGTGTGATGACACTTGAAAGGAGCCATTGTGCCTCACAGTCACATGGAGCAAAGGTGACAGGAGGCAGGCAGGCAGGCAGGCAGGCACAGGAGACGTTGCCAGCACCATGTGGCTGGAGCCTACTTTCTTCTGTGGTGGTGATGCTCATTGCCCATATTGAGTATGGAATCTAGTGATGGAGCCCTGAGCTACGAACTGTGTGACGAGAAACTGAGTTTTCTTTTGGTTTAGTTTTGTGTGTGCTCCTGAGTGCAGGTGCAAATGTGTACACTCGTGCATATAGAAGCCAGAGGACTGCCTCAGGTACTGTTCCTTGCACACTGTGTGCCTTGTTTTGTAAGACGGTGTCTTTCACTAGCTTGGGGTGACCTGGCAGCCCCTGGGAGCCTTCTGTCCCCTCCCCTGCACTGGGATTACAACTTGCTTCTGAGTTCTAGGGATGAGCTCAAGTCCTCCTCTTCTCAAGATGGGCACTTTTTCCCCTGAGCATCTTTTAACCGTTAGTTCAGGGTAAGGAGCCTGTGTGGGTAACAGGCTCCTGGGCCAGGGGCTTGGGGAAGGTGCTCTGCAGTGTTCCATGCAGAAGTTTTGACTAGAAGAGTAGAGGGAGCAAGGGGGTCCAAGAATGAGATCCCGATGTGTAAGAGGATTAAGTGGGGTGAAACTGAAGCGTGTCAGGTCCCCTGGCATTAGAGGAGGTTGTGTTCCTAATTGTAGCTCTGGAGGGACAAGAGGCCATCTGTGTGGACCTGTTCTGCATCCTGTGGATGGCCATACCGTGGCCTGCCTCAAGCCTCACCTGGCCTTTATGTTGGGTGCGCACTGGTGCGCACTGGTGTGCACTGGTGTGCACTTGTCATCCCAGCACTTAGGAGGTGGAGCAGGAGTTCAAGGCCAGCCTGGGCCACCAAGTTAGTTTTAGACCCGCTTGGGCTCTCAAAGGATAAGGGGTGGGGGGCGGCAGAGATGGCTCAGTCGTTAAAAGCACTGGCTGCTCTTACAGA